AAATATACCATAACATCCTAACGTACATTAACAGCTTTAATATACATTAATACTAAACATTATATGACTATACCATTCTAATATTTGTTATTACCATATAATGTTTGTTATTATTGCATATTATAACTGTTAGGTTAGCTGTTGTTACATGTTAGGATGTTAGAATGTTAAGGTATACTAATGCTGCTTATGAATGTTCTATGAATGCATTATGAAGGTGTCCTGCGTGTTCTATGGATGCATTATAAAGGCATTATTCAAGTGCAGTTTATGTAAAACACTACCTATTTAAAAATTAACAGAAATAATAACAATAATAATAATAATAATAATAGTAATGACAATAATAATAATGTTTCAGTTCACATGGGGAACATGCATGACATGTATGCATGCTGCTCTATGCTACGATGTGTAATTGCCCTCAGCATGACACATATCACACAGTTTCTTCAGGTACACAGCTACACCATCCACACCTGTCACCCTCCAGATGAACTTCTTCCCTCCCTCCTTCCCTGTCACCTTCCCTGTCCTCTTCCCTATCCCCTTCCCTCTCTCCTTCCCTATCCCCTTCCCTGTCCCCTTCCCTCTCTCCTTCCCTGTCACCTTCCCTGTCCTCTTCCCTATCCACTTCCCTCTCTCCTTCCCTGTCACCTTCCCTGTCCTCTTCCCTATCCCCTTCCCTCCCTCCTTCACTGTCACCTTCCCTGTCCTCTTCCCTATCCCCTTCCCTCTCTCCTTCCCTATCCCCTTCCCTGTCCCCTTCCCTCTCTCCTTCCCTATCCCCTTCCCTCTCTCCTTTCCTTTCTCCCATTCTCCCCTCCCCCTTGTTTTTTGTGAAATATTTTTGATAACCACAAAAGGGCCGCATAGTGATTAGATTCCTCTTCCGTTTCCCCGTTACCATAGCAAAGCTCTTGAATTATTAACAAAAAGATTAGTCTGCGCATTAATCATTTTCCGATTATAACACCCCAGACACATTTTACTCGTCTATTTCTCAGACACGGACCATGGCCATTTTGACGCACTAAGACTTAGACGTGATAGCAGTAGTAGCAGTAATAATCATGACAATACAGAGGACAAAAGCAGCTTATGCATGTAGCAGTTAACCCGGGAAAAGGCCCAACAGCAGACGTTTATCTCTTCAAAGGGCCTCCATGGCTGGTCCCCATGAGTCGCGTCACCCGCCTGCACAAAAACAGGGCCTCATTACGGAGCCGGAGCCAGTGCTGTATGGGACTGGGCCCAGGTGGCCTCAGGATGAGCTGTAGCGAGTGCTGCTGAGATTCTGTTTGCTTATTCCTCCCACGCAGGACTGATTACACTGACTGAGTGTGTGTAGATATGGAACACCTGAGAGATTGCTATGTGTGTATAGATCTGCAACACCTGAGTGATTATTGTGTGTGGATCTGTGGATCTGTAACCCACCCCAGAGTATTTCTACTCAGTGTTTTAAAAATCTCTGTAATGCTCTACTCCCGCTGGGATAAATGTTTAAAGTCAGTACTCTGCTGGACCTCTCAGTGTGCTGGAGGATTGCTTGTAGCAGCTATTCAGTGTTAAATCTCAACAGAGCCATGTTCTGCTCATAAGAGAAGACCTTACAAACTAGCATAACTGCACTGCAGTAGCAAATGTCTCCTATTTGACCTGAGTGGCTCCAGCAGGTCTTTCTCTCCGTGAACCTCCCCAGGAGACCCAGCCGAGCGTGAGGGCGGGACTTCCTGTGAGGTGGCGGAGTCAGCTGAGCCTGAACGCGCCAATCGCGGCGGCCTGTCCGCGCAGCAGCTGCAGCAGCAGCGAGATTTCCCTGTCCAGCGTCTGCAGCGAGTACTCCAGCAGCTCCTACACCTGGAACGACGGCAAGCTGGTAGGAAGCCGCGTTCTGTTCCGGCACCCTTGACTTCTTGCCCCCAGTACTCTGTCACTAGTACCACTCCTCAGGTGGTTCTTCACGAAGGTCCTCCTGCTGGAGTAAAAGCCGATTTTGCTTTTGTGCCATCGGGCTTGTGTGGGAGCAGTTTAGACAGGATACGCGTCTCTGGGATCCCCGATAGCTCAAAGTGCAGCCGTACATAATGCATAAAATTCGGTTTCCTTTAATTACAGAAGGCGTTTAATTTCAATAAGACATTTTTTGAGCTTTAGCTCAAATGTCTCTTCTGCTATGTATGAAAAGGCCTGAAATATTTAATTGCATATTGAGGCTGGCAAAGTAATTATGTCAATCTCCTGCCTGTTCTGCAGTAATATAACATGTTGGAACCAGTGGTGAATGGTTTGGCACCCCAGTTCCCTTGAGAGCACTAACAGCTATGTGAAGTATGCAGGTACTTCAGCATGGTCAGCTTGCAGTTCCTCTTTACTGGGCAGTGAGTGACGGTCTTGCGTCTGGTTTTCTCACCCTTACAGTCGTCTCTGACATGGGAGAAGAGGATGAACCTGGGCTCCTCAGCACCTGGGAACATCTGGAACCCCCCTGAGGAGCAGCCCCCTACTCGGAGAAAGGAATGCCATATCCTTGCAGGGCTAAAGAGGCTCCAGAAGCGACTGCCTAAGGAACCAGCCACCTTGTTCTCTAAGCCAGGATACAAAGACTGCATGAACTCCAACGAGGGTATCTACTCTCTGGGGATGAAGTACAGTGCCCAGAGCATGCCTAAGCCTTCTGTCACCGGACGGATAGGCATGCTTGCGGTGAGGAGCAAGACATTCGCTTACGATTCTGATGATGCCGACGATGAGTCTCCTCGTGCACCTGCCCAACTGAGCAAAGACTCATGGGTCTTCTCTAAGAAGCTGACACACAGTGTGTCCGACAGCCTGTGCAGCTGGGATGGAGGGCAGGATCATGAACTAGGGGATGGTAAGACCCCCCCCGGTCACAAATCCAAGCAGCCCGCCGAGAAACTCACAACCTTCACCAGTGGAATCCTCTCTGGTGATTCTACCCGCGATCCATCTCTGTCGGACATCAAACCTGGTTCCACGGAGGTCAGCTGCTGCCTCCACCACTCAGACACGGATGAATTAGACTCCATGGTGGAGAGCGCTGACAATCATCTCGCTGTGAGCTATCCAGCAGAACGGCTGGAAAGGTACCCCAAGAGGCTTTCCGCAGAGGTGAACAAACTGCCTGCAGACCAGGTCCAGCGCCGCCCTCTCAGCCAGATTATGCTTCCAAATGGAGCTAATGACTTACGGGCAGAGGAGCGCGTCGCGGTGATATTTGACGCCGAGGATGGAGAGCCCATCCAGCTGAGTGCACAGCCCACTGTGGCCGTGACTTGCAGTGATCTTCCCGAAGATGGCCCACGAAATGTGCCGACTACCGAGAGTCCCAGGCTGATGTCTCATGCCAGCCCTGACAGTCTCACAGGAGGCCCTGCCAGGAATTACACTGTCTTAGAGTCTCCAGAAGTGCCGGTGCAACTTCAGGCTCACAGTACAGCAGGTAAAGCTGCCACTTTTCAGAGCCGGAGCACTGACAGCCCTTCTGAGCACCAGCAGAAGTTTGCTACCCAGCAACAGAAGCTAATAAAGCCTCCATACAATCAGAGCAACAAAGTCCACTCTGCTCCAGCTATGCAAGGTGCCTCCACCCCCAAGACTAACCTCACTAAGATCCCCGGGCGAGGGAAGGGTTCGCCACAGAAGTTTGGAAAGGGTGCCAATACCGAGACAAGCAACAACGGCAGCAACCCCAGTCCTGCTGCTAAAGACAGGTCTCCTGTATCACCCCCAGTAAAGCTGTCGAGATTTGTTAAGTCGACTGGGGGCAGTCAGGTTCAGAGCCCAAAGGGAACTCAGATGAGCTCTAAGCTTTCATCCAGGAATGATTCTGGTAAAGGTATGTTCCTGCCAGTCCCAAGCTCTCCACCTCCATCCAGGAAGCAACTGGAGAACGATGACATTGGGGAACTGCCTACCCGAGATCAGCACTGTGCACAAACTGAGCTCAGATCCCCTTCCCCTCCACCCCCTCCTGGTCGCTCCACGTCGTTACTGATCCGACCAAACTATGACAACTCTCCTCAAGCACTTAAGCTGGCGGCTCAACCTGCTGCACCAAACACTGTGAGGGGACCTCCTACAGGTCTCCAGAAGCACCCGCAGCCTCCACCATCTGCACTTAATGTGCAACATCTGGGTTCTCACAGAGGCCAATGCGCTACTGACCTCGACTTGAGCCTCATGGAGGTGACACCTCAGAAGCTGGTGGATAACCAGTCCTTAGCAAAGGCCTCTACTTTATGTCAGACCCCCACAAAAGGGTCCCCAAAGTGGTTCCCCCCAAAACCATCCCACTCTATAGCATCAAGTTACACACCAGACCATAGTGAACCTGTATCTAAAGGTTTAAAGAATTTTCCGACCTCCTTGCTTACCTCCCCAAGAGATTCGCTGCAGGGTCTGTTCAATGTCAAGAAGAGTCTGCCTCTCGAAAATGGCCATCCCTTGTTATATAAGGCATCCAGCAGCTTGCCTTTGTCTTTAGAAGGCCACCAGCCATGCCTGACGGAGCAGGGTGGACCTTCGGCGGAGGCTCCTAAGTCGCCACTGAGCTACTCGGGATCAGAAAACAAAACCCAGGGCTCTGCGGAGAAAGCATCAAAAACCCGCTTACCTATCGGCTTAAAAGCTCTGGTGAAGTCACCCTCTCTACTGAGCAAAAGCTCCACGGTGCCAGGAAAGCAAGAGAAGGAGCAAGTAGCCGACAGCAACGGGGGTGCCTCAAAGCCATGTGGATCACCGCAGAGTACCGTAGCCGGAAAGCCGCAGGTGGAGATGAGCGATGGGGGGCATGGTGGCTCTGCGGACAGGGGCATGTTCCCCCGAGCATCAGCCGATAGCAGCCTGGCCTTCCCCAGTGACGGTCGCCTCTTCAAGCGCTCTGTTTCAGTTACGACCAAGCCGCATTTAAAGCCCGCGTTAGGCATGAACGGGGCGAAAGCACGGAGCCAGAGCTTCAGCACCAATTACATGGAAAAGCCCTGCATGACCATCCCTGAGGGGGCTGAGAAGGTGAGGACCCACATCATAACAAATACTGGCGAGAGGGGCAACTCCCTGACCAGGCAGGGCCCATCCACACTTGGTGTCCAACTGAAAACTTTCAGTGGAGCAGTGGAGAGCTCTCCCCAGCATCTTAACACCCGGCCGGACTCCCATCGGGCCATGAGCAGCTCCTGCACTCCCCCTGGTGTCTCAGGAAGAAAGACCTCTCCGTCTAGCCCAAAGGAGGACATTTCTAAGGCCGAGGGTAATGTGTCACTTCCCCAGAAAGAGGTCTGCGGATTATCTCCCACAAACAAGTTTGGCCATAAATACTCCAAGCAATCCGGAAAAGTGTCTTCCCAGCCTCAGTTTGAGTCGGCTTCCTCTTCAGGCCACGGCTCCGACTCGAAGGCAGAAGGGAGCAGCAGCAAGTTGCTGAGTCCCAACAAACCGCACATGGTGAAGAGTTGGAAGAGGCCATCTCCTACCAGCGCAGGGCAGGAAGAGGCCGGGAAATGCACAAGCCCGTTGGCCAGCACCATAGAGGAGAAGGTCATGATGGGTATCGTGGAGAACGTGCAGAAAGGTCAAGGGCAAGACAAGGCCCAAGCTCCTGAGAGCAAGCAGAAGAGCAGCTCGTCTCTGGCTAACTGGTTTGGCTTCCGCCGCAGCAAATTGCCAGCTCTGGGTGGCAAGAAGACCGAGGTTCCCAAAGAAAAGGCGGAGAAAAAAGAGCTGAAGCTTGGCTCGGTGCTGGGAAGCAGGCAGGCTAAGTCAGACAAAAAGAAGGATAAGAGAAAAAACGAGACACGGTGCAGAGATAGTCAGGAATATAATGCTGAGAACGGTGATGAAATGGGCCCCGTAATGGACCATCATGTTCCGACAGGACAGCTGATCAGTCAGATCCAGCGTCCTCCTACCCATACTGCAGCAGAACACTTCAGGATGGAGCTGCTGAATGGGTAAGTATTTCATGTGACTTTTTGGGCTCTATGCATCACACAGAGAAGGTATTGGGTTCACATGCATCATATGCAGGTTCGTAAAAGCATCTCGCTGCACCCCTGACACATAATAATCTTCGTGCATTAAGGATTTCTGCTGCCTGGCAGATATTGTTATTCAGTGCAGTATATAAAAGAATTTTGCCACCCTCTTAAAGTATCGACTGCATTTTTGTACGTCGTCCAGCCGCTAAATGCTGACGGATCCTGCTGATTGCGTGATTGGATTCGATCGTGTCGATAATATCGCCTAGGCATTCTGAGCATGAGGCACTTTTCAACCATCCTTGGGAAAGAAAACAGATCTGCGGTTTGCAATAGAGCAGTATTTTCCAGTCCAGTCCTCAGGGATCCCCGGTCAGTCCACGTTTTTGCTTCCTCTCAGCTCCCAGCGCACCTGTAGCAGGTATTCGGTGTTCTTGATTGGCTGAGAGCTGGGAGGGAGCAAAAACGTGGACTGTCCAGGGTTCTGGGTTGGGAAACACTGTAATAGAGACACCTTCAGCAGGAGATCGCCAGCACTGAGCTGTGCAGCTGGGAGGCTTGATGCATCCCTTATGTAGACGGCCCTGGACTGTCTCAGAGAAGAAAATCTATCATTACCTGTTCTTCAATAAATAGATACACTACCTTAAATTGTAACCAACAGATCTTATTGAGTTAGGAGCTACTAGTTAGAGACATTCATCACTGGCGAAGTGCAGAGACAGACTTACAAAGTGGATTTTTTCAGGTGTCATTGGTAAGGGAGCAGACTCGGGATGGAGGGCTTACGACGTCATTTATCAGCACAATCTCATTCTACCCGCGTATTTTATATGAATGTGGCTCTGCTGGACCAATCAAATTGTGTTTCCTGCAGGAATGTCGCCACCAGTGGTTCCCATGGTGCCGGCCTCCCCGGCATCATCACCCAGGGCGCTGCCATAAAGAACAGCGAAATGAAGAAGAATCTGGAGATGGGTGCCGACGGCGCGGTAAGGGAGACGGTGGCCTTCAGTGAACCCCCACGATTCTAAATCACTGTTTGTTCTGTGTTTATGCTGTTTAACTTCTGTAGAAACATGTTTCAACTCTTCTGGAACATACAGCACTTTGCAAAAGTCATAGGCAGTCAAAGAAAATGTTCAAAGCTATTTGCCTGGGTAGTACGTATATATTTGCTCAGAACAAAAACACAATTTAGCATTAGAGCATAAGCAAATTTATAACAACACAATAAAAACAAGAATTTCTTCTGTTCTCCAAAAAGTTGCTGATTTCCTGCTGGATGTCTAGATGAACACGGCTTCAGTGCTGAAGGGGCACCACAGCCATTCCATGTATTTGTTACATTTCATCATCAGCTTGCTCAAATAATTAATTAATTAATTTACTTAGTTAAATTACTCAATGGGGTATTGATTAGCCAGACAATGCGGGGTTGTGTTCGAGTCAGAAAATAAATGGCCGTGTTGCACGGTTGCTGCAAATACAATGGTGAGATTTTGAAATGGTTAAACTAGCACACTTTGACAACATAATATCATAGTTCAGCACCAACAGGAAGATCATTTAAACATCATTTTCTTTGACTGCATAAGACTTTCGCACAGTTCTTTTCAATACTTCCCTTGTGCCGGTAGCTTCCCGTAGCTGTGGATAAGCGGGTATAGAAAATGGATAGATGGACGGTAATGTACTGTATGACGCGTAGGAGATGTTGGAGTGTGTAATGTCAGGGATGAGGTGAAGCTGCCTGACATGATGGCTGCGGATGTGTTTCTGTCTCCGCCATCCATCCATATGACCATTTTAAAAATGGCTGCCTTGCCTGTGAAGCCAGGGAGTGCCTGCAGCTTACTGTATGCTGTGTCTGCAGTGACTTAAGCATATTGTAGGAAAATAAACAAACCCATTAGTAAACCCCCCCCCCCTACCCACACACACACACACACACATCTCCAATTCATGCTCTGGATTCTTGGATAACTGATGCAGGCACGCATATAATTTGAGAACAGCCATGCAAGGGCACCGAAGCAGGGATAAATGTGGGCCGGGCAGAATGATGAAGACAGATAATGGAGGCAGGAAAGATGGAAAAGCCAAGAGAAAAAGTGAGTTTTCTTTTTTGAATGGCCGTGACTGCCGTACGTGGGAAATCTAGCCCGGCTGATGGTGAGTTTTGATAGGGAAGCGACGGGTCTTATCGGAGATACTCAATTTAACAAAAGTGCCGTTTAATACCATCCTAGCTGTCCGTACTGTACCCGCTCGCAGCTAAATGTTTTAAAGGCGCACCTTCAATTCAGTGCAATTTCCTGCTCGATAAAAAGGCATTTATTCCAAGGCCCACCATACCAATGTGCCTGTATAATTTATCATAATGCTTAGGGGACAGTCAGCAAAGCAGCGCTTCGGTCTGCCCACACATTTCTCAGGTGAAATCAAGCATGATTGGACAAATTGGAGAAATGGGAGGTGCTATCTTTGCGTTCAGCATCAGAAAAATGGATGATGATGATTATTATTATTATTATTATTATTTATTATTATGTACATTACCGTCTAAGTACAATACATATAAATCTGACATAAAATATAGCCTAATTTTTTTTTTGCATTTATATTACACTTTTTGCAATACTTTGTTCAGTGCCCCATATTTAATAATGATTAAATAATGTATGTGCATGTTATAGGTTTTTGTTGACATTCACCTTAACTAAAAACAGTTAAATATTTGGAGGAAACCCCCTTAAAAGAGACAAGAAAAACTGAGAAATGCAAAGAACTGGACATGTTTCCTATGTTAAACAGAAGATTCAACGGTGAAAGTTCTACAGTGATGCTGTCGTGCTTCCTGTTCGTGCTGCTCATAGATTTTTATTTTATAAATAAAAAGTCCTAACTAGTAGGGATGGTAAATTAGATTTTGAGGATGTTGCTGAATGACCAGCTTGGTTGCTGAAGCAGAATGCCCCCCCCCCCCTCCCCAAGCCCAGCACCTTGGCCACACACTTACTGGAGTTGCAGTGATTCTGAAGGCTGTAAAGGTCAGCTGGACCACTGCCTGTTTGCTCTACCTTGAAACAGCCGTTTCTAATGCCTGGGTAATTATCAAAATGTCCTAAATGTTTGTCTCAGATTATAATAAGCGGTGGGGAGCATCGACTGCGTGGCTCTCCATCGTAATTCCCCGGGGCGGGAGTCACGGCGAGTCGAGTGGCCTTCTTTCTCTCTGTTTGGGCTTCTGCTCCTGGACGGTTTTAAAAGAATTAAATAAAATCCATTAAGGTAAAGGCCAGCGCTCTGCCTGCAATTTCAGCCTTTATTACTCTGCCTGCTTTTTAGAGACGGACCTGAGTGTGAAATATGAGGCTGCTCACCTATGATAATCCTTCGCATTGATTGTCTAACGACTGGAGTTTTCTTATGTGTTTACAGACTATTTAAACACAACCCATTTTCGTAACTATGAAATATGTTTCTCCTCTTTACCTTTCCTCCTTTTTCACACTCAGCTTAGGGATTCCGTTTTATTGCTGTGTGGGTGTCCACAGTTAAATTTGAGATACCTCTTTAAAAGTCTCTGCCTGGGCCTTTAATATTAAACATATTGGTCACAGATTGGTCCCTAAACCTCTTTGCTACCCACGTACCAAACCACGATGGTATAGTGCTAGTTAGCTTGATATGAAAGCAGATGAGTCCCGGGGTGAAACATTAACCTGGATCTGGCCGTTTCTCCCGCAGAAGATCATGCTCAAGGCTGGCCGTGATGAGGACCATGCTTCTGAGTCACCGTGCCAGGACCACCTTCCCGGTAAGGACTCCCCTGTCAATAGGCTTCCCGTCACCCTACACTGTCAATGGAGGTGCACAAACTCATTATTTACAGGCCGTGTTAGATCACCAGCCCAAAAGCCTATCCTGGCAAGCTCTGGCATCCTGATCAGTTGTTCCTTTGCCCTATGCCCTGGTTTTCTTGGAAATGGTTTGGACTTCGATAGAAGCATTATAGGCACTGGATAAGCATGTTCAAAGTCAAAATGCTCTAAGCGGCTCAGTCTATTGTGCATGTGGATGAACACATGCACAAGTACACACTACAAACATTCTCCGGAATATAAATGCTAATGATCTAGAATCCTTTTTTTTTTTCTGCATCAACAATTGCAATTAGTGCCTAATTAACGTGCAACGGCAGGTCCTGCCAGAATATCCCACTGTCAGGCTTGTTGACCGAATCAATAAGAAGACTTGTCAGTAGAAATCGAAGGGAATAAAGAAAGTGTCAGGTAGGTCCAAAGAGCGAGAGGTCTGGTGGCAGCATTACTAAGCTGGCAGATGGGCTTCTAGGATGTCAACCATGGTGCCAGATGCAGGGGAAAAGTGCGCGGGTTCAACCCGAAGCGAGGAGAGGCAGAACGGCCCGTCTTTGCCTGCCGAGGACACGCCCCCCTCCTCCAATAGCGCTTATCTGAAGAGCTAGTTTGGCAACACGAGTGCACCCACACATTCTGTCATTAAACAGTTATTAAGGAATTATCTCCGCTTCTATGGAGAACTGGCCAATTAGAGGCCTTAGCCAAGAAGTTCTTTCATTTAAACACGATCATCATCCAAGAGGAGCTTGCATGCCTCTTTCGGTAAAATTGATCAGATTTCCCTCATAATTTAGAAGACAGCACTCATACAGACTCTGTAATGCTGGGAATCTGGATCATGTGACTCACGGTTGTAGCCGTTACTGCACATATGTAGTCTGGGAGATTTTTGCCCACTATCAGGGAAAGTGGCAATCTGGCATGTCTTGGTGAGCTGGTTCTGTCTAAGGGTTTTACCACAGAGGGCTGGGATTCTCCGGTATAAAGTAATATTTTCAGAAAAAATAATAAACAACAAACTGCGTGGTAGAGAGGATCTAAAGCTCTTGTCGTTTCAACAAGTACCATATGGTTGGATAGCTATCTCTTCAGATAAAGAAAATCTAAATAACTAAATGTTAATGTGTTAATGCAGAGGTCTTTCTGATATAGAAAATTGGCTTAATGGTTCCCACACATAATCAGAAACATATCAAAAGCAGATGGTGCAGGTAGGAATGATCGTCGAGCTCTTAGGAATAAAATGCATATTTGCATATGCACACAAATTGATGCACAAATGCTCACAGTTCATGGAGTGGCCTGCATGAGATAATAGAATTTATAATGAGCGTACAAAGCAGGCCACGGAAAATGCCAGCGGAAAGGGTAGCAAAAGTATTGATGTTTCTGAAGATCACTGTAAACATGGTCCACCGTTTGGCGAGACATGGCCGGGTGATGTGCCGCTCGGGGAGTGAGAGCCGTCCATCTGAGCGGAGACTTGCCAGTGCCATGCTCACAGCGACTCCTCCGCAGCTACTCACCAGTGAACCGTCTGCGAACGTGCGAGCAAATGTGGGCTCTGTGGCTTCCCAGCGTGGCACGCTATGCCGTCGCCGGGGGCTACTGCCTCAGCGACAAGCGATCCGCAACATGTTGCACACCCCCTCACACACTGCGGGGGTGAGCTGTCAGAGGTGCCGAGTTCTGGCAATTTTCGCTGTGGCTCAGCAGGTTAAGATTCTGTATCTGAAAGGGGTAGGTTGTTGGTTCAAATCCCGGGGTTGGCAGAATGATTTCAGCATTGGGTCCTTGAGGAAGGCCCTTAATCTTGTGCTTTTTCAAAAAATATGCATCGTTTTAGATAAAAACATCTACTAAATAAATAATAATAAGGTCTTGCATGGTTTATGATGTAACATAATTCAAAGTTCATCAGGAATGACAATTAAAAAATAATACACACAAGAACTAAATGCTCTGGTGTATCAAAAAATTTGAGTGTGTGTATATATATACACACATGCCACATGAACTCTCCGTTTTCAGTGGACCTGAAACAGTATGGTTGTGTTGTTCCTCTTCAGACGTGACATGATTAAGTTACACTTAGACGAAACAAACCCAGGAAAACCAGTTGCCCCCATGCACCCAGCATCAGCGTCCAGGCTGCCTGCTGGTGTAGGAACTTCCCTACATTCATGTACATAGAGAAGTACCAGTTATTGATGGATGACTGTCTTTCCTAACTGCACATTATCCCGCTTTCCATACCAGGCTACCAAGATTTGTACTTTTGTGTAAAACATTTAGACCAGGGTTTCCCAATTCCGCCCCTGGCGGGGGCCACGTTGCAACACAGTTCCCAGATTTCCCTGCTCAGACACACCTATTAAACCTAACAATTAGCTGGTGAGCTGAACAAGGTGTGACTGAGCAGGGAATTCTGTAAATTCCCTACAGGAACGGAATTCCGGAACCCTGATTCAGACTTTCCTGTAAGGTTTTGACTTAGGCCTCAAGAACAAGGTCCTTAACAGGGCTTTCAGTTCTTTCTATTGCATCATATGGGTTCAAGGTCACCTGTACCTCAGGGAGGCCTACCAGGTCATGGCCAAGGGCTAAGGGACATTGTGGACATGTGATTTCACCTTCACTCACCATCTCCAAGGAGACAGTCTGAAGCTCCAGGAATTAAACCACCTACAGGAGAGATGCTATTGAGTTGAGTGCCCTTAACACTGGCAGATCGTCACAGAAGGTTCCCAGTGAATGACTTTAAGATTCTTAAGCCATTCCAGAAAGCCCTATCTGCGAGCAGTGAAGGCGGGCGGTCCTATTACCCAGAGTCCTCGGCTTCCCGGAATGAAGCTATTTCTCTCCGCACCCTCGCTGTTAGGTCCCGCACGCGTATTTTAGGCCGTGTTTCTGAAATGTGTAAAATTACCTCAATTTAACATGCCGCCACATAGGCTGAACCGGAGCCAGAAATAAAATTCCTTATTAGGGCCGTATTTTAATTACCTTGATGCCATTTCCCAGCGCTTTTGAGTATGAATTAAGTATCTCATAAAGATTTTAGCAGTGCCTTGATTTAGCTTCCGATCGCCAGCCTCGTGCTGGGTTTTATGTGGCTGTGGTCCCGCTGTGACTGCTGATGTCACGCCCATCCAAGCTGCCCTACGGCATACGAGGCGCCTGCCCTATTCCAAGTCGTCCTAATTTTATTGTTCATAATTCAAGCTAATGGTCAGGGTTGGAGTTATGGTCATCGATACGTTTGTGGATAGAGGGTCACAACAGGGTAGCATGAAACAAGCATATTTGTGAGATTTAATTTAATTCGTGTTATTCAATTTAATTTAACACAGACATTGAGCAGGATCTCAGTTATGAATCTCATGACCTGTCTGGTCAGTGTTTTTAACCTGCTCCCCAAATCTCTCTCCATTAAATTGCCGCTATATTTTCCCCCTGAATAATGGGGACGTCCTGCAGCCGTAACCAAGCCCCCATCCAATCGGCGGCAGCCCCCACCTGCCAGATCTAGTCGGGCACCCGTCTGGCTAGCTCTAGGCCCCTCATTCCAAAGACACGCGGATACAAATCTAAGGCGAACGTGGCAGCTTTGTGTGGAAATCGATTTCCAATCGGCCTCTGAAGTAGCCTCTCGCCGGCACCCCCAGGGGGGGTAGGGGTGTGTCAGCCCCTCTCATGCTGGCTGTTCAGAGACGGGGCGTGGGGACCCAACTAGCTTGGTTGGTCGTGGGCTCCCATCTCTTCTAAAGGCGCATCTGAATGTGGGTCTTCATCAGGGCTGTGCAGAGACTTTTTCAGGGGCAGGTACTGAGATGAAGGCTTCCCCCTCAGTTAAATTTGTGGTTTTTGCTACGTTGGTAATTGAAAGTGGGGGCTTTCTACCAGGGGCAGATGCCCCCCCACTTGTCCCTGATTTTCCAGGCCACGTTGAAACATTCTTCTTCTTGTCAAATCACTTTTCGCTCTCCTCGATGGGGCTCCGTCTCTGTAAGGCCACAGCCCACCGAAGCGGGTCTCTATGGATGCCGTCGGTAAGGAAAAAGCGCTGTCGGATAGCGTGAGCATCGGGGGGAGGAGGCGGAAAGGTCACATGGAGACGCTACGCAGCCGTAGCCCGCATCCAGCTGGTGAGATGCCTTAATGCGTGATTTATGGCCAAAGACGTATCATCCTAATTTACCCGGCGTAAGACTAATCAATCTATATTTATCTGGAGAACATAGGAGCCATGAGGCATTTTGATATGAGCTAAATTCACCATCTGTCGCTTGTGCACCTCCAGGTTCCTCTAGTAACGTATCTCCAGCGTAGGAGTGTGGATGTGGGGGGGGGGGAGAGGAGGTAAAACCCGCCCTCACTAGGTAAACCTAACTGGTACTAGTAATTGCATCCACTCGTACTAAAGTATTAACTATAGATGCCCGCTGATCTTTTGACACAACTCCTTGTCCATAACTTTCCTGTTGGTTTGCAGCACACTGCCGTTTGTGACCATATGTGTTCTAGTCAGACACCATTCTTCTTGGTACCGACATGAACGTGTGCCTGGGTTCTCCGAGCCGGGCTGAGGTAGGAACGGGTAGAGACGACTTTGTTTGCAATACATACCTACATAAAAATCTTCCAATAAACCTGCTGTACCTGTAGAGGTGCTGAAACATTAAAATCTCCCATGTGACCCTGTTTACGAAATACATTATCATACCTGTACGAAATGTACTGATAAAAATATATCTGCATAAAGCAGCCGCTACTCTGGCATCCTGATAGGGAAAAGATGGATGGATGGATGGATGGATGGATGAAACGTGCCTACCACACTCTAATATTCACAAATCCATAAATAAAATATTTCACTATGTTAAAAATACATGTAAGTTTTGGACTTAGGTCTGTTCTGATTTTTTTACTCACCAGCACATTGTTGTCTTGTTATTTGTCTAATGACCCTGTTCACTCTGTTATTGTTTCATCGTGAAAAATGTCACTGCATGCAGAACTTTTTCCGTATTAAATTCTGTGCTCTTCATGGCAATTAGTGTGGAACTGGAAGCCAGAATCCTTCACAGATACTTGTAATTGGATCACAGTGAACAACAATCCATCTGTCACGTTCGGGGGAGGACCCTGTGAAAGAGTCAAATTAAAAAAAAAAATAACCATCTGTTGCATAAACGTCCCTACATTACTACACACTGTCATTTTGTGAGTGTAAATTCTCTTTTGCATGACATAATATTAATGTAGGAGGCAATAGAAAATCAGGAATAAATTGACATTCACTGTAATGCAGTGGACAGAGTTTGTGTGAATTAGATTCGGGATGTATTTGTGCAGACATTATGCAGAGAGGAACTCGCCAGGGACGACCACAAGATACAAATCAGGCCAGTTTATTGAGTCTTTGGTTTTCGTATATAGTCACATAAATACCTCAATGCCATTAAATGACTTCACAAGGACACAGTCTTATTTAAAGTCACTTTAACACAAATGAGGTTACAGGGGAAGTAACTCTCTTGTTCTTCCTTGGTTCTGCGCTGTTATTCGAACCTTTCCAAGATACCATGTATTCCCACAACCCCTCTCCCTGCCTGTGACTCCCACGGATCCCTCCTCCTCCTCCTCCTCCTCCACCTCCTCCTCTATCACACGCTTCTCCTGCACCACAGGCTCCAGCTGTCAGATGCGAACTTTGGACAGCGGAATCGGAACCTTCCCCCTACCTGAATCCGTCACTCGGGTGCCGGGGCGGCATCTTCCAAAAACAGAATTCTGCCCCAGGAGGGCATCAGTCGATCCCACTGAGCCCACCCAGGACCTTCCCCTTCCCTCGCTGCCTAAATCCAAAGTGCCTTCCTGCCCTGGGACCTGCCTCAATCACTCTGTGTCGTCCCCCAGCGTGTCTGGCAGCAGTATGACGGACCCCGTGAGCTGGACCCCCAGCACTGAATCCCCAGGTAAGCCGGTGTCATTCTGCCGTTCTACTGTGGCTTCCAGCACAGTCTTCCTGTTCGCACCTTGGTAGGCCCGGAGCCTAGCTCAGGCACCATGGCCCCTATCTGCTACATTTTAAACCGTGTAAAAATAACCAGCTCCTTCGAGGGGTGAATTATTCAGCCTATGTGCTCACAAGTCCTGATCCTACCTTCTGGTACAGAAGAGGCTCACGTACATTTTCATTGAAAGTTTCCAGCCACGTACTTAGAGTGGAACTTTAATCAGGTGCTGTCCGATCAGTGAGGTATTTGGAATGCAGTTTTCCTAGTCGAAACAAGCGTGTCACACACAATTGTAACTGTTTCTGGAGATCGTAATGAGATTTTTCTGTGTGAAATGCACATGCTTGTGATTCTGTGTCTTGAATTGATTGGGCTGGAGTGAATTACCATCAGCAAAAAATGCTGAGTCAAGCGTGAGGGACGTCAAAGGGAAAACATCGGGCTTTATCTCACTGGCTTCCATTGTCCTGTCCAGTCCTGTGTGAGACGTGAGGATAGCTAACAAAGAGTACCTCAAGGAAGAACCTACTCAATCCCCAAAGTAGAGTTTGACTTGCTGCACTCACAACATACACAACGTTTACCGTGCTGTTTGTACTCGTCGGTGTCAGTTGGCCTGTCTTTTTGCACTGTTTGCAGTTTTTGCACACTATGCACTCTACGTTGCTTAGTTGTTATGCGTAAGTGTTACGTTACTCTTGTGTAATTTATGTAGCACCTCAGTCCGTGAGAAACGCTGCTTTGTTTTCACCTGTGTACTGTATTCAACTGTGTGTGGTTAAAAATGAACATTAAAGACCTACTTGACTTGACAAGACAAAATGGGAGCCAGTTAGCGATCTGGCTGTGATTTTACACTCTCTGCATCGTAACCTATCTCTGTGAAAGACGGCACCTGGAAGATAAACCGTTGACGATGTTCAGTGAAGTGTCGAGTGATGGGTTTGATTCAGAGCAAACTGTAGGTTTATGGGCACAGAGGCAGCACAACATCCCTGTCTACCAAAGACCCCCACCCCACCAAGACGTGGTCTTCGGTTTTAATAAGGAGCGGTTTACTTAATTAATTGGATAGTAGCTACCCATCTGTAGAACATTATGCTGAAGGGGTTTAGTCATTTAGATAAACGTATTATGTGTTCGCACAGACACAACACATATAATATTGGGCATAAAACAGAGAGTGAGTTAGGGGGGTCATCCTCTCCTCACTGCAATTAAAGACAGAGATCAGAGAGCGATAACTCGATGAAGGACTCATACTGGAAGCATTGCAGTTCGACAAAGCGAATCTTAGCAGTGAGACCTCTGTTTAATCTCTAATCACAAACCCAGATCTGAGCATCACGTATAGAGGCAGAACATTGCCGTATTATGATGGAGTTCATGTTTAAGACCAATCCACTGTCCTCACTGCAAATTTCACTGCAACATGTATTCAAGTATGACTGACAAAGTTTGTCACGAAGTAATAAACAAACAAGGAAATAAGACTATGAAGTCTACAAACTAGATATTATTGATATTCACAACTATAAATTAAAACACTCTTTTCACCAGTTATCCTTTAAATGGGGTTAGTCAGAGACACATATTAGTAACAGTAAATGATCATTAATTAATACATTCTCCTACTGAGGTCTCTCTGAGAACTGCATCTCAGAGGTCTATCAGTGAGCTCAGGCAGAAACAGCACATTTATTCGTTCATATACTGATGCTTTGTGTCCTGTAATGAGCACCCAGCCAGCCGAGAGTGTGATTTTGCTTGGGTTTCACTGCGATGCACCTTTCACTGAGCGTTCGGACTCAATCTGCGTGACTGTGACGCACCCAGGCGCTGTGCTTCCTAAGCGGCCGAACCAGACTGACTACAGCCCAGGCCCAGAAGACCGTAGCAAGTGCACCGATGCGAGGGCCACCAGACTGGACCACAACGTCTCCACTGTAAGGACCGCTCACTTCCGGCACCACCGCTTGCTACACCTCAGCATAGGGCTGGAGGCAGAGTATATGGACAAAAGTATTGGGACACTTGGCCATTACACCTGCAGGAACTTTTATGACATCACATCCTAAATCCATAGGCATCAATATAGAGTTCATCCCGCCATAACAGCTGCCACTCTTCTGGGAAGTCTTTCCACAAGATCTCTGGGAATTTTTGCCCATCCATCCAGAAGAGTATTTATGAGGTCAGTCACTGATGTTGGACATGAAGGCCTGGCTTACAGCCTCCATTTTAGGCGACATCCTATGATAGTACCACATTTCAATTCACTGAGCTCCTCACAACGACCCATTCTTTTACAAATGTTTGCAAACCTGACTGCATGGCTAGGTGCTTGATATTATGCACCTGCGGCAATGGGTGTGAATGAAACACCCGAATTCAGTGGCTGAGAAGTGTGTCCTAATGCTTTTGTCCATATAGTTGTACCTTTTCAGGGGCCCTAGGCAAAGCTTTAGGGGGAGGCCCCCCTACCAAGAAAACTGATGATCATTTCATGTCCTCCACAGCTCAGGTAATGCGGGGGCCCAAAGCAACTGTTTGTTCTGCATATAGCTGTTCAGTTCATATTTGTTAAAAATTCCCTCTGTTCCATTGGTAGTGTTTTTGGAAACTCCATAACAGACAGACAATGAAATACTCACTAATATACAAATAAAAAGTTTGGTTTAAGCATTGGGCGGCCTTGTTTTCCCGGTGGCAGTGACGGGTATTTATTAGCCGGGAGGCAGGCTGTACTTCATTGAACTCTTCCCAGATTAATATCTGCTAAGTAGAATTTGTGAAGAAAATGGAAACATGGCAACTATAAGGAGGCACGTTTTTCCCCCCGTCCTGTTTATTTCGCGGGTAACTCATTGAAATGGATGGCCTTAAAATTGTTTCGGCTCCCTCTGAATATTATTTAGATAATGGCGAGATTGCGTTGGGCTTATCGGAGCAGAGCCGTGCCGAGGAGCGAGTCGCGCTGACAGGGGATCGTACATCTTGCCGCCGTCGGACAGGCAGCCGCGAGCGCGCGTTCGGCTGACGCGCATCCGAGGGTGAAGGTGGTCCCGTCGTCGGCGAGCGAGGAGCCTCGCGTTCATGCGTGGCGGTAACCGCGGCCTTGCTGCCTCCCCAGGACAAGGCTCTGCGGGTCTGCCTGTACTCCGGCAGCAGCAGCGAGCCCGAGGACGACCCAGAAATTGACCTGGACTTGAGGCGTGGACTTCCACACAGTAAAACCAAGAATCACACCCAAGGTTGGTTCACCTTATTTATTTCTGTTTGTTCCTTCGTTTCCCTCCATTTTCAGCCCTTGTTAGTTCTTTCTGATTCAGTGCCAGATAAACAGGCTTCTTCATAGCCTCCGGACTCCTGGGCGTGTGCGCCGAATGCTTCCAGTATAACGGGAACACCAAGGGACTGTCTGATTCCTCTGTGTATCCCAAATCCCTCACGGGAAGGCTTGGCTGCCTCTAATTTTCCGGCGGCGCATTATTATTATCAGAACGTTCCTGTTCTCTCACGATCGCCTGTTAGATGATGATAAATTTCACTGGAATGTGATTGGCTGTGTGGAGACACCAGCCCCTTCTCTCAGCGATAATGTGTATGGGCCTGTTTTATGGCGGTACTGTGTGTATCGGAGGTGGCACCCAAGCCAGCATCTGCCGGCTGCTCAGGCAGCCTGGCCAGAAAACGAGAGACACCGATGTGCGTCACTCTCCACAGCCGACAGGGACCAGGAAGCGAGAGCCCAGGAGAAAGCGGGCATTCACTGGTCCATCATGGACTACTACCGACAGGAGTTGCTCGTCCGCTACGGCGATGACGAGCACGCGGGAGTCTCTCCGTACGGCTTCCTGAGCAAAGGCGACAGAGCAGAGATGGACACCGGTCGCTGCGCTGCTGTAAGTGCCTGCATCCATGCCTCCGGCTTCCACGGGAAGCTCTCCCACCAGAGAAGCTTTCGTAGCTCAGGGGCTTCTGAGTAACTCTTGTCTTCTGCTGTGCAATTCATTCATTCCTGGAAAATGATGAAAGTGCAGCGAATGATGCGTTTTCTCCAGCGTTAACCTGCGTTACCCTGCAGTACATCACTGCTATTTTTGCAGGTTTTAGCTAAAATTACGTTGAGTGCGTTTAAAAGGTTGCAATTTACTAAATAATCATACATTTAATCATACACCAGGAGCCTGTCTCAGGAAGGTAAGTAGTGGAGTGGTCAGATCCCTACATCCATACTCTACTATGTCCTACACCCCTCTGAACTCTGTTCCACACCCTTTCTCTGGGCTCCGTTCTGCACCCTTTTCCTGAGCTCTGTCCTACACCCTTTCACTAAGCTGATATACACCCTTTCTCTGGGCTCTGTTCTGCACCCTTTTCCTGAGCNTTTCACTAAGCTGATATACACCCTTTCTCTGGGCTCTGTTCTGCACCCTTTTCCTGAGCTCTGTCCTACACCCTTTCACTAAGCTGATATACACCATTTCTCTGGGCTCTGTTCTGCACCCTTTCACTGAGCTCTGTTCTACGCCTTCTTCTCTGATCTGATATATACCCTTTCTCTGAGCAGATATATACCCAATCTCTAAACTCCATTCTACACTCTTTTACTGAGCTCTGTCCTACACCCTTTCTCTGATATCTGTTCTACACCCTTTCATTAAGCTGATACACACCCTTTCTCTGAGCTCTGTTCTGCACCCTTTCTCTGAGCTCTGTCATACACCCTTTCACTAAGCTGATATACACCCTTTCTCTGGGCTCTGTTCTGCACCCTTTTCCTGAGCTCTGTCCTACACCCTTTCACTAAGCTGATATACACCCTTTCTCTGGGCTCTGTTCTGCACCCTTTTCCTGAGCTCTGTCCTACACCCTTTCACTAAGCTGATATACACCCTTTCTCTGGGCTCTGTTCT